AGAAGCTTTTTTTTCCATGGATGCCTGAACACACCATCCCTTCCCCTTTCTTGTAGAAAAAAGCAAGGTGATGAGATTAACAAAAAGTCTAGGCAATGATAGATGGAATATCAAATTTCTGAGGGAGGGAGTATGGAGGAAGTTGATGTATTTAGATATATGGGAGTGTACATGTCAGCAGATGGGTCTATGAAAGACAAGGTGAACCATACAAAAGATGAAGGAAAGAAGATGGGTAGTGTGTTGAACATCTGCAAAAAGGTTTATGGATGCAAAAAATAAAAGGGAATGTACTAAAGTATAGTGGTACCAACACTTTTATAAAGGTATGAGGCACTGTTTTCAAACACTGCAGCAAGGAGGTTAGAGACATCAAGATGTCATATGTAAGAGCAATGTGTGGTGTGAATATCATGCAAAGAATATAGAGCATAGAAATTAAAAGTGATGTGGAGACATTAAGGAGTCACTGAGGTGGTTTAGGCATGTAAAGAGGACAGACAGGGATAGGCTGACAAAGACAATGTATAAATCTAGGGGTTAGAGGTAGGAGAGGCTGGGGTCATTCCAAGAATAATTGGAGGAGCAAGTAAAAGAGGCTTTAAGTTTAAAGTGACTGAGCATCCAGCAGGCTTGTGTGAGTGTTAGTTAAGAGTGAATGGAGGTAAGAGTTTTTTAATGAACATGCTATTGGAGTGCAAGCAAGGTAATGCTCACGAAGGGATTAGGGAAAACTTCTTAGCCGGACCCCGAGTCCTAAAGACAGCAAGGGGCAGTGCCTACACTCTGAAGAAGGGGTGGGGATGGTACCATCAAAAGGTAACCTGAATTGTGATATCAGGACACTTCTGAAAAGACAGCAATTGAATGAATGATGGTGAATGTGCTTTCTTCTTTGGCTCACCCTACAGATGGCCTTAGAGGTTAAAAAAAAAAAAAAGCACAGTATACAGAACAGAGTATGCTACCAAGTCCAGTGGGTTCTTTGGGAATCCTTCATTTTAACGTATACAGTACATAGCTTGAGTAACCTGAATTTATGTTAAAATTACACTATGTACTGCTCTAGAGCACAACTCTGCTGGTAAAGGAACTACATATGAGCAAGTACCATCTAGTCTAAAAATACAGAAAATAATAGGAATGGAATTCATTTGTCTGAGGATCTGAAGACCATAATTGAATCTAGAAAACATTATGCCAAAATAATCAGGCAAGTCTGCATACATCATAAATTTTCCTTTATTGATGAAATATATTTTTAAGCAGTATGTACTGCATCTTATCAAACCTCATTTATCTGGAATTGTTAGGTGAGAATTTTTTTTTTAACACATCAGCCATTTCCCACCAATATAGGGTGGCCCAAAAAAGAAAAACTTTCACCAACATTCACTCCACCACTGTCTTGCCAGAGGTGTGCTTACACTGCAGTTATAAAACTGCAACATTAACACCCCTCCTTCAGAGTGCAGGCACTGTACTTTCTATCTCCAGGACTCAAATCCAGCCTGCTGGTTTCCCTGAATCCCTTCATATATATTACCCTGCTCACACTCCAACAGTACGTCAAGTCCTAAAACCCATTTGTCTCCATTCACTCCTATCTAACACACTCGCACATGCTTGCTGGAAGTCCAAGCCCCTCGCACACAAAACCTCCTTTACCCCCTCCCTCCAACCTTTCCTAGGCTGGCCTTTACCCCGCCTTCCCTCCACTACAGATGTATATACTCTCGAAGTCCTTCTATTTTGTTTCATCCTCTCTTCATGTCTAAACCATCTCAACAACCCCTCCTCAGCCCTCTGGATAATAGTTCTGGTAATCCCACACCTCTTAATTTCCAAACTATGAATTCTCTGCATTATATTCACACCACACATTGCCCTCAGACTCAACATCTCCACTGCCTCCAGCCTTCTCCTTGTTTCAACAGGCACCACCCATGCTTCACACTCATAAGAGCATTGGTATAACTATACCCTAAATATCTGAATACATTCACCTCATCCATACTCTCTCCCCCCAATCTGATAGCCAGTCTTTTGTTACCTAATTTTTTTGTTATCCTCATCACCTTACTCTCTCCTATAGCTTTCAATTTTCTTCTATCACATACCCTACCAAACTTATCCACCAACCTCTGCAATTTCTCTTCAAAATCTCCCAAAAGCAGTGTCATCAGCAAAGAGTAACTGTGACAGCACCTACTTTGTGTTAGATTCTTTATCTTTTAACCCCACACCTCTTGCCAACACCTGAGCATTCACTTCTCTTACAACCCCATTTGTAAATATACTGAACAACCATAGTGACATCACACATCTCTGTCTAAGGCTTACTTTTACTGGGAAATAATCTCCTCCTACATACTCTAACCTGAGCCTCACTACCCTCATAAAATTTTTTCACTGCTTTCAATAACCTACCTCCTATTCTATACATTTGCAACATCTGCCACATTGCCTCCCCATCCACCCTGTCATATGCCTTTTCCAAATCCATAAATGCCACAAAAACCTCCTTACCCTTATCTAAATACCGTTCACCTGTATGTTTCACTGTAAACACTTGGCCTACACACCCTCTACCCTTCCTAAAGTCTCCTTGCTCATTTGCTATCCTACTCTCCATCTTACTCTAAATTCTTTCAATAATAACTACCATACACTTTACCAGGTATACTCAACAGACTTATTCCCCTATAATTTTTGCATTCTCTTTTGTCCCCTTTGCCTTTATACAAAGGAACTATGCACACTCTCTGCAAATCCCTAGGTACCCTACCCTCTTCCATATATTTATTAAATAAAAGCACTAACCACTCCAAAACTATATACCCACCTGCTTTTAACATTTCTATCTTTATCCATAAATCCCAGCTGCTTTACCTCCTTTCATTCTATCCACTGTCCCGTGCACTTCCCCCATACAGTGGACCCCCGGTATTCGATGGCATCGGTATTCGATAAAACCAGTATTCGATGCATTATATCGCAAAAAATTTTCCTCGGTATTCGATTGAAAACCTGGTATTCGATACGATTCGTACGAGACCTGTCCACATGTGGCCTGAACTGCCCCTTGTGTGCCAGTGTTTACAAGCCAGCCAGTGTGCGCGCATCTAAGGATACATTCGATACATTCCATATTATCCATGTTATCACTGTGTTTGGTGCTTGTTTCTGCAAAATAAGTCACCATGGGCCCCAGGAAAGCTTCTAGTGCCAACCCTGTGGTAAAAAGGGTGAGAATTAGTATGGAAATTAAGAAAGATTTTGAAGGGTTTGGGGCTAACCCTGAGAAGCCTATACCAGTTGTGGAATACATTGTGCCTACTTCAAAAATTAAGGAAATGTGTGCACAGTGGGTTGAAGTGCAAACCTTCAAGGATGAAAATCACCCTAACACAGCTATTACAATGACAATGTTGTGGCCCATTTTAGACAAATCGTAAAGGAACGGGAGGTACACAGCTCTATGGACAGATTTGTTGCAAGACAGAGGTCCAGTGACTCAAGCTGGTCCTAGTGGCATTAAAAGAAGAAGGGAAGTAACCCTGGAAAGGGACTTGCTACCTCAAGTCCTAATGGAAGGGGATTCTCCTTCTAAACACTAACACCTCTCCCCTCCTTCCATCCCATCAATCATCACCAGATCTTCATTAAAGGTAAGTGTCAATTATTTTATTGTTATTGTAATTATTCTATTGCATTAAACTTAATATTTCATGTAGTAAAATTTTTTTTTTTCATACTTTTGGGTGTCTTGCACGGATTAATTTGATTTTCATTATTTCTTATGAGGAAAATTGATTTGGTTTTCAATATTATCGGTATTTGATGAGCTCTCAGGAACGGATTAATATCGAATACCGGGGGTCCACTGTACTTGCAACTCTGTCCTCTTTACATCATCATTCCACCAATTGCTCTTCTTCCCTCCCTCACTCACTTTCCTGTAGCCACAAACTTCTGCTGAACACTAACACCACATTCTTAAACCTACCACATACATTTTCAACCCCATTGCCTATACTCTCACTAGCTCATCTATCCTCCAATAGTTGTTTATATCTTACCCTAACTGCCTCCTCCTCTAGCTTATAAACCTTCACTGCTCTCTTACCTGCTGCTTCCATTTCCCTTGTATACCATCTACCTTTTACTCTCACTGTAGCTACAACTAAAAAGTGATTGATATATCTGTGGCCCCTCTAAAAACATGTATATCTTGAAGTCTACCCAACAGTTTTTTTATCCAATACGTAGTCAAAAACTACAGGTCCACAACCCTTTATCCGAAATTCTGAAATTGGAAAAGTTCCGAAAACCGAAGGTTATTTGTGGAGTGTGGAGCATCAGTGATCTCAGTGCTGGGTCACACTGCCATTTTAGCGGCGTTGAGAATCTTTCTGAACTTCAAATAATTCTGAAATTCGAAACAATACTGGCCCCAAGTTTTTCAGATAAAGGGATGTGGACCTGTACTGTCATTACGCCCTGCATCATATCTTGTATACTTATTTATCCTCTTTTTCTTAAAATATGTATTACCTATAACCAAACCCCTTTCTATACAAAGTTCAAAGGGACCACATTATCATTTACACTTGGCACCCCAAACTTACCTACCACACCCTCTTTAAATGTTTCTCCTACTTTAGCATTTAGGTCCCCTACCACAATTACTCTCTCACTTGGTTCAAAAGTTCCTACACACTCGTTTAACATCACTCAGAATCTCTCTCTCTCTCTCTCTCTCTCTCTCTGTCTCTCCTCTACACTCCTCTTTCTGTTAAGGCCAGATATTCCAAATAATGTACAAAAACAGTAGTGTTGTAGAGAATATAAATCATCTCAACAGAATGAAAAAAGGAATGGTGGTTAATTGGCAACAGGTAGGTGCCAGTGATATATTTTGTTAAAGCAGTTTCTGTAGAGCATAGATAAATGAGGTGTGACTAATACCAACACTAGACTTGGCTAGAGCAACAAACCTGGTGGGAAAAGTGGTTATCAGGAGACACAAGCGAGTACCAAGGCAAGACCAAGCAGGAATGCAGGGAATTAGCAGTGGCCACCATCTCCTGCATAATGGGTTCCAATCCACTGGCTCTGTGGTGCCGCGTTCCACCCAGGATTCTTATTGTGCCACAAGCTTTAGAAGATCTTCCCATCTCATTTGTAGTGGCAGCATGTGGCTGGCCTCTGTCAACAACATGCTCCATAATGCTGAAGCACCTGAGTAACAGAAGAAGTAAACTAGTGAAGCAGTTCTTGAAAAGCACCAAGTGCAGAGGAGTATCTAAATATAGTACATGCAGAAGAGCATGTAAATACAGTACAATTAATCTGTTGTACCATAAAGGCCCAACTACAAATGAAATGCATTCCTACAAATCATTCGTAATGCAAGTGTTTGGAGCTCAGAAACTATTTCTTCCAAAGACACCCAGAATATTTCCATACTATGAAAAAGAGGGGATGGGGAGACTAGAGTAAATTAATTGTAAACATTTGTTAAGCAGGAGATAACCATTTAAAATAGACTCGGTTAAGGAGAGGGAAATGTATACACTAACCCTTTCACTGTCGCGACCCCTGCTCACAAACTTGCTCTCCCTATTTTCAACCAATTCCATTGTTCCAGTTGACCAAACTCATAGCTACTTCGCTAGAATTTCATTTGTTCTATCGAATGAGTACAAAAAAAACGCCCATTTACTGATTTCGACTATCCAATAATGTGATCAGAAATTGGTAATTGTGCCAATTTCATACACAATTCAAGTAAGGCTAATTTTCAATAGGGTCCAGAAATAAAAATACAAACATTCCTAGCACTAAAATAACATTTTCTCTATTCATCAGTCATATCTCCAGGCCCCTCATATTACGCTTGCCTTCCATTTTGAATTTTTATTCACACAAAAAATAGAAGATTTACTGTTCGCAGACTACTGCATTATTGTAAAAGTGGTATGAATAATATCAGCACATTTGTGAAAGCATATTAGACCCACCAGTTGACATGTATTGGACGCGTGACAATTTGTTTACTCTTGAACATCGGCAAAAATCAAACATTTCTGCTACTTTGAGCTCAATTTCAAGGTACTTTTAGTTCATAAACCATTCAAAATAACCTCTATTTCTGTACTATATCTTCAATTTTATCATATGAGACCAAGAAAATGAGAATACAGCAATAAATACCATACACAAAGTCGGTGCTTTAAACCAAAAACACAGTCGGAGTCTTTTTTTCTCATTATGCACTGCGTGCTGCGGGATTTTTTTTTATACTACACTCACTGACCACTCAGACCCATTCTCTCATATGTAGGCCTACCAACTTTCTCCCACAAGATTGGAAGCCACTAGAATTTTGGCATTCTATTATGGGACCAACACCGGCTTGCAAGCTGTAATATTACAGGACCGACAGTGAAAGGGTTAATACAAGTGTAGTAAAGCATGTAAAGCAGTTCATAAGATTTAACCGTGATCTTACAAGCTAATGAAAGAAAAAAAAAAAAAAATCTTACCAGAGTACAAAATGTTAAACAGATTTCTGTTGCACACTTGTATGACTGGGACAATACTACATACCTAGATGGTTGTTATTTATCAACCTATTATTACAGTAAGCCACTACACAGGTTAGAAAATCTGACATAACTTTCATACAGCATCTAAAGTTTATAATGAGATTAAATTGATGATTTCAATGAGGTTGATAGTTAATGATCATGTAAAAAATATGTAAAGCTTCCTAGGTTTTAGTGTGAAAAAGTGAGTATTGTAATTTAGGCTAAAGTCGGAGAAAGTCCTGAACGAGACGATATAAAAAACAGTAAAGGATAAGTGATCAGAAAAAATGAACACTATTCCTGCTTAGCCCTTTGATTAAAAGTCATGTAGATCTACGTTCTTGAAATAGCTTAAAATTTAGTTGAATAGATCAAAGGCAGTGGCTTGAAACAGAACAGAGAGGATGAAACCACCGATGCGTATTTTGCACCCACACTGCTTTGTGCCTGCATAATTCTGTAAGTTTTACATCAAATTTCGAACATTTGGTGTCACTTCCTACAGAAAAGACTATCATTTAAGAAGAAACAGTAACTTTTTTTAAATGTGAACACAAGAGCAATATTAATTTTGGTGGCCTGTACAGTGAAATGTTAAGCAATGATGCAGCATTACAATGATACTAACAGATGCAGATGTCTGAATAACCAGCTATTGCAATGGAGTCCTTAACTCTTTCACTGTCTCTTAGGTAGAGTTACGTTACCGATGCTAGTGTCACTCACATAGATCTACATTTTGAGCTCAGATTCCTCAGATAAGTCGAGAGCGGTAAAATTTGGCCTAGACACGAGAGAATGGGTCTGTACAGTGTGTGCACCATGTGTAAAAAAAATTGTCCTGTGCAATACATGATGGGAAAAAACAAACATATGATCTTATGTACTTTAAAATAGGAAATTTAAGGCCTTTTCTAGAATGTTTTTATGATTTTACTGACTTTCTTGGTATCAACTTAGAGAATGGAAGACATACTACTGAAATAGATGTGATTTTAGTTGGTTTCAGAATTGGAAGCAACTTGAACTCAGGATCAAATTAACAGATATATTTTTTGTATTTTCCTGAAAATGGGTAATGCCCCCTACCCCCCTGGTCTGTTTTATGGGTTTTACTAGGTAATACTTGATATTATGTATGATCCAACAGTGCTGTCACCCTTGATGTTATTATGATCCAATAGTGGTCTTATTATTATGCAAGATCCAACAGTGCTGTCATAGGTAAGACACATATGCAACAGTTAGGTATCTTTATTTTGAAACGTTTCGCCTACACAGTAGGCTTCTTCAGTCGAGTACAGAAAAGTTGATAGAAGCAGAAGATACTTGAAGACGATGTAATCAGTCCATCACCCTTAAAGTTTTGAGGTGGTCAGTCCCTCAGTCTGGAGAAGAGCATTGTTCCGTTGTCTGAAACAATATTGTTTCAGACAACGGAACATTATATTATATTGGGACACCCTAAGCCATGGCCAATCATTCTTGGTTATACACTTAGTGGCCACTTTATTGGGTACACCCTTATATTACTGGGTTGGGCTCCTCTTTGTATGGATTCAACAAGGTCCTGGAAACACTCCTTAAGAGATTCTGGTTCATGTTGACAATAGCATTACACAGCTGCTGCAGATTTGTTGGCTGCACATTCATGTTGTGACTCTCATTCCACCACATCCCTAAAGTTCATGCCAAATTCTGACCCCGCCATCTGCATGTTGCAGCAGAAATCACAATTTATCAGATCAAGCGACTTTTTTAAATCTTTAACTGTCCAAATTTGGTAAGCCTGTTCCTACTGTAGCCTCAGTTTCCTGTTGTTAGCTGACAGGAGTAGAACTCAGAGTGGTCTTCTGCTGTTGAAGCCCGTCCACTTCAAGGTGACAAGGTTGAACCAAAATAAAAATAATGTTTTAACCAAACCCAACGAACCACATATCCAGCCAGCTGAAACAACGAATTCATTAAATGATTTCTTCTCTACCAGAGGATCAAGTCTAACAGGCAAAATTCCAAGTGCCAATGCTTAAGTGAGTGACTACCTTCTTGGAAGTTTTCCAAACTCCTTTTATCTGGCTCCAATCAATACTGCTGAGGTCCCTCTGATAATTAACTCGCTGAAAAACAAGTCAGAAAATTTAGAACAAGTAGCACTGCTATTGTTCAAAAGAGCAGCTCATGTGCTTTCATCCACCATTGCAATATTGTTCAACAAATCATTAGAAACCAATACATTCCTGACAGTGCTTAAGATAGCAGGGGGTTACCCCAAATATAAGAAGACCCAACTGATGTAAATAACTATAGACTTATATCTAACTTACCATTATTATCCAAAATATTAAAAAAATAAATCCACAAGTGAAACTCTTTTCTAGCATCACTCAATATACCCAACCTCTGCCAGTTTGGTTTCAGACCAAATATAGAACAAACAATACAATTATAAAAATGCTAGATTTCCTTTATGCAGCTCTTGAGAATATTTAATATCCACTAGGCCTCTTTATAGATCTTAGGAAAGCATAAATTTGAAGAGCATTATGGTATCAAGAGGTCATGTACTTCTGTATCTAAAGTCTTACCTTAAAAACTAACACTAATACGTCTCCATAAAGAGTGCAACCTCGTCAACATGATCTATAGACATAGGGTGCCTCAAGGTCGTGTTCTCAGCCCTCTGCTTTTCCTCATATACCTCAATGATCTTCCAAATGCATCTCAACAATTTAGACCTGTTCTGCTTGCAATCTCCCACCCAAATCAAAATTCTTTCAATAACACTGTTAATGAGGAGCCCATAAAGATATATTTACCTAAATGACCACCAATGAACTCACTCTTAACAATGACAAGACCTTCTACATGATGTTTGGTAACAGAGCTGCAAATGTTTAACTAAATTTGGCTTGTCTGACCAACTTTACCTAAAATGCATGAGAGGGGGATCAATATATCAGGTAAGAATAGATTTTATTAGATCTGCTTATATTTGGTTTGCAAGAATCTGTCAGTGTAATTCATCAACATTTATGCTCTTTAACAATTTCTCTTGGCTCAAGAGAACTTACTGTGCAAATAATGGATAAGACTGTGGACCATGTTGAAGTAAACTGTTGAAGACTGTCCATGTGGTGTACCCAGAACCCAGGGTGATGGTAATGAGGCCAACAGCACAGGCACACACCCACCAAGCACCTCCACCACTGAGGCACACACACACAGGGCACCAAACCACACACGAACCAGCAGCCCAAATTGCACCACGGACCCATCTGTATAAAACAGATTAGAATTAATTCCTATTTAAGTTACTGTATTTTTAACGAACTTGTACATACAATAATGTGCAACAGCTATAGGTGATGTACAACATAACTCCCTACACTCGCAACAGCATTAGCACCACAACTGCAACTACTGCACCTTAAAGATTAAAAAAAAAAAATAACAAGAGCATTATCATGTTTAATTATGACAATTTCTAAGTAAATACAAAGACAATTCCATACTGGAGGCTCTATGCTAAATTCTCAAAATAAACAGAGTTGGTTACACGATGACATTGTTGATGAGCCTAACATTCGTTTACACTCCTATTCAGAGAATATATACATGTGATGTTTGCCAGAAATGCATTGCATATTAGTGGCTATTTTGTACCTACCAATGTTATATTACATGTAAACTACATCTGTACTGCACTGTATTATACTGTAAAAGATTCGTCATAAGTAAATCGGGAAAACAAGATGAGATCATGAAATTTGAGTCAATACAAGACAAAATTAGCATTTTTCAATATATTTCAACAGTAAAATGAAAGGTAGATCCTTTAGACTACAATATTCCAACTAATTGCTCCCCAATCCTACTTTCTCACTCATGATTTAATCTTTTAACCATGTCCAAAGTATTAGTACGCATGGGATGACTGTCTGCAGTACTAGTATGTATAGTAAGTACAATTATTTGTGCCTCCAAATATGCCACCTGCTAATATTTTTGACTTCAACTGTTTGGGCCTTGTGCAACCTCTTCATGATTTGAAAAAAATCTAAGACCAGATGGATCCATGCAGTACATCATGAGGTAACACTGCATAACAAGCATAAGTAAACAAGAAAACCAAGACCTGGTGTTCCACCATCAGCTTCCTTACCAGCAGTGTGTGCAACTGCCTGGAAGATGTCTTATTCATTCCAAATTTATTACAATTTCATGATACTAAACAGTGAAATTCACCTAATAGGTGCACTATGTATTTTAAACCTAATATAGTCAAACAATGAGTATTACATCTTGAAACAATTGTAATATGTTTTACAGTGGTCTAGAAGGTACACACTGATTATATAATGTTTATATAACCCAGGATATTCCCTCGAGCCTTTTTTATTATCACACAGGCCATCTCCCATCCATGCAGGGTGACCTGAAAAAAAGAAAAAACTTTTCCTTCATTTTACAATTAGTAATTTATACAAGAGAAAGGGTTACTAGCCCCTTGCTCCTCAAACCTAAACATTAAACAAATAACCTAGGATAACCCAATATAGTCAAACAATGCGACTTATTTCCACTGAAGCTAAATCGTATAGTTTTAAAAATAGGTTAGATAAATATATGAGTGGGTGTGGGCTGGTGCGAGTTACCTGACTAGCTTGTGCTAATAGGTCTGATGTAGTGCTCCTTCCTTCTTAAGTGGATGTGACTTGTACCTGACTAGCTTGGGCCAGTGGCTTAGGACATTAGGTGATTTGGACCTGCCTCGCATGGGCCTACTCTGAGGAGTATTAACTTTGAAACAATTTTAATATCATAGGTATTCCCTATATATATATATATAGTTAGAGGACCAAAGTAAAAAACAGAAAAAAACAATTATTAGATCTCAATTATACTGTATATTCTATGTGAGCAATATTGTGCTTAGGTTGTCTTTAGATTTTTTATCCACAACAATGTAATACAAGAAAATTTAAAACATAGGACTAACCTTGACATCTTGGCAATATACATAAATGGTTGTCAAGGAACCATTTTTGTTTCTGCTTTTAATTTATTTCTGGACACTGGAACCATCTGTGGAGAAATAACTATTATTAAAGCACTCTACTCCCTAAAAAAAAAAAAATTGTCTTCCATTACACAAAAGTACAAGTTAGGAGAAATAAGGAATGAATAAAAACATGCACAGAATAAGTCATTTTATCTAGGGTTATAAAGAAACTTTCAATGGAGGCCAGTAGTGATGCACATAAGTAGGGATAGGGAGGGTTTTCCCCTTTGGTCTTAGGTAGACCTCAAGTTTCCACAAAATACCTCTAATTTTGAGAATGCATAAACTTCATTGTCTAGGGAACAATGAAGACTACTTATATGCAGTATACACCAATCTTCACTTTCCAGTGTTTTTCCTCGTGTCTTATTCCTGTACAGTGGAAGCTCAGTTTTCGTATGCCCTGGTTTTCATAGGATTTGGTTTTCGATGACTTTTTTCACCTAAATCTTGTCCCAGTTTTCGTACATCCGCTCGGTTGTTGTAGAGTTGACAATGGTCCATACCAAATGCGCCTGCCTGCCTGTGCCCACACAAAGCATCCCACGCGTTCTGACTCAGTCCGGGATTGTTTCTCATTAAGTGAACATTACCCCACGCATTCAGATAGCATTTCATAATAATTCGTCATTTTTTGGTTCTAGTTTATTGAGTGTGACTGCTAAATAAGCCACCATGGGGGCCAAAGAAAGTTCTGAGTGCCAGCCCTTTGATAAAGAAGGCGAGAAACACTATAAAATTCAAGAAAGAACTCGTAGCAAAGTACAAAAGTGGCAAAGTGAAAAGTGGAAAGTAGCAAAGTACAAATGTGATTGAAACTGAGGAAATTGCTCCAGAGGAGGAGGAAGAGAGGGGAGAATGTGCCTTCTTCAGTGATTAAGGACATGTGTACAAAATGGAATGAGTTACAAAGTTTTGTGGAGAAATATCACCCTAACAAAGCTGTTGCAATCCGTATCCGCAACATGTTCAATGACAATGCCTTGTCCCATTTTAGGCAAATCTTAAAGAGACGCCAGAAACAGGCCTCTCTGTACAGATTTTTTGTGCGGCAGGGGTCCAGTTACTCTCAAGCTGGTCCTAGTGCCAGTAAAAGACAAAGAAGGGAAGTAACCCCCAATAGGGCCTTGATACCTGAAGTCTTTATGGAGGGGGATTCCCCTTCCAAACAATAGCCACTCCTCCTCCCACTCCCCTCCTTGCCGTCTTCCATATGCCAACAAGCGTCTTCAATAAAGGTAAAAGTGATGTTAAATGTTCATTTATCCATTTCATTAGTCATTTATATTTATTTCTCACTGATTTCTGTATGTAAAACTATAGTTCTCTATAAAATGTATTTTTTTTAATATTTTTGGGTATCTGGAATGGATTAATTGGATTTACATTACGTATTTCTTATGGGAAATACAGTGGACCCCCGGTTAACGATATTTTTTCACTCCAGAAGTATGTTCAGGTGCCAGTACTGACCGAATTTGTTCCCATAAGGAATATTGTGAAGTAGATTAGTCCATTTCAGACCCCCAAACATACACGTACAAACGCACTTACATAAATACACTTACATAATTGGTCGCATTCGGAGGTGATCGTTATGCGGGGGTCCACTGTATTGCTTCAGTTTTCATACAATTTGGTTTTTGTCAGACTTTCTGGAATGAATTAATCGTGAAAACTGAGGTTCCACTGTAATACATTATATAAATGTATTTCAAATACAAGAGCTGGGGGAGGAGGATATCCTTTAGACACCAAGCTCCCAATGCAGAAATACTGTACATTTTTTTATGTATTAGAAACTTCCATTAGGCAGTGAAGAACTCTGGTGTCCTATCTTGACATGAACCATTGGAACACAACACGGAGGAGGCAGCTGCCGGACTGAGGCAGATGTCAACTATTCGAGTCATACAGACTGGATATCAGTTGTAGAAAGAGTGGTTTCTACCAGAATGCTGAAAGTTCGTCAGCTCATGTGTGCAGCAATCTAATTTGAAGGCCCAGAGCAAAACCCTTTGACCAGTCACAAGGGTCTGCCAAAGCTAACCTGTTATCAACAGCCTTTACATTCCATTCATGTCATGGAACAGAATCATAACAGAGAGCAGGCCACTTTGCATTTTGCCAAGCATCAGACCTCAAATACACATGGATGCAACCAATGGAGGGCTTCCAGAGATTAATTAATATGAGTAAACACCTTGCGAGGTTGTCCTTTTATGTATACAATGAATGGAGCACTCTACCACAACTATAAACTGAAGACTCAGGCAGGGTGATACTTAACTGGTCTCTTTATAGTCCTGGTTGCACAGAATCAAATGCCTGGAGGCTAGAGTGAACCTCACTAGAGCCCAGCATGATATCCCTGAGCAGACCACAAGGGTCAGGATAAATTCACAGAACGTATGCAATCACAAATAGGACCATATTATATCCAGGCATAAATTATGAAATGGAAAATACTGACCAGAGGTCCTTGGAGATGTTGTCAAATCAGTCGTGGTAGAGCTTTTTCCCAAAGGGACCTTTCCTGGTTCAAGTGATTGGTATTCAACCAAGTCCTCTGTGACTAGAGCAGAGCCTGTCAAGTTGTTGAATTTCCTGGTTGGTGGGCTATGTAGGTGATTCTGTAATGAAGAAATAGATAAGAACCAGTCTTGGGCAGCTTATGCATGCTTGGGCAGAGTAAGATAGGGCAGAGTAAGATAAGCCAGAGGCCAAGATAAATGAAGCTGTCAAAAACTGTCTGGTAAGACCTGTAGTACTCTACCAAAGGAAGAGCTATTACATTGTCAAGATTGATGTTATCCCAGACAAGCAAACACCACCAAGGTATGCCCAAGATCTTCAAGCAGCTCCAAGGAATTGTAGAAGAGGAAGGGAGGCAATGTACTACCATAGAGGAAGCCGTGTTGACACCACTTTGTGCTCATCTCCAGAGCACAAAGTGGTATCTCCAAAATTGCCAGGGGCGAGATTAATGGTTGTTACTTGAGCAATGGTTGCATCCAGTTGCACCCAGAAGAGCAACAACTCAAGGGAAAACTCAAGGAACAGGAAGCAGCCTCAAGGATGACTTTTCTGATGTAAAAAGTGGAAGAATTGCAAGATTCTGTTCAAGGGTGCCTTGTGAGTTTATGAGCATACATATATTTCTTCAAGAGCACCAGACTAGGGGTACACCCAGCCCAGAATAAGTAGTACCCGTGAGAACTTCCTGCGCTTAAGCCTGAGTGGATTAGGTATATAACAATTCAGTGGTGAAGTACAGCGAGTGTGGTATCACTTTTCGAGCAAGGACTCTTGAGAGAAGCTGGTGAAGTCTTAAGGTAACAGTAAAGAATCTGCAGTTTGATGTTAAAGCTAAATAGAGGAAAAATTTAGGACGAGCCTATAAAATAGTTTGGAAAACAAAGGGTGACTAGCTGGTAAGCCATATTCGTGGAAAAAGCAGTTCTGGAAATGAGGCTGCAACAAGCAAGAAGCCAATAGAAAAGTACCATCTGAGAACTTAAGCAGATGAGAGAGAGCACTTTTCACAGTCAGGTTTGTTATCAATGCATCTAATTTATTGTTTATTGGACCAAGGATTGTTTTGCATTGTTATAATATGGGTGAATATTGAGTCATAAGTACTGATAATAAGAAATTAAACACTTGAAAGTTAATCATTAAGTACATTTAGTTTGCAAATTCACATCCTACGAGTTGTTAATATAAGCTGAAGAGCACTCTGACTGGTGTTCTTTAAGCCAAATTCTAATTACCCCCCCCCCCCCCAAAAAAAAAAAGTGTTCTTTGGAGGAAGCTTTTGTGCTAGAATAAATAATGTTACATTATCCTGAGAGTTATAATACAAAGTTATAGTATGTCTCTAAAGTTTTTACAATAAAAATGTTGGTAACCAATCCTTGGATCCATTATGTGCTTCTCTAATGTTCTGACTACTGCCTACGGGAGGACCATGGGTGCCACAAGGATCAGTGTATACTTATTCATAATCTATGTAAATGACACTGATGAGTAATAAAAAGCAACATGAGGAGACACTAAAACAGGTCAACAAATAATTTCTGGCATAAACACTAGAAAGTTAGAGGATAGACTTAGATAGGGTGATGTGGTAGATGTATTTCAGTACAAACAAGTGCAAAGTTCTAATCCACTAATTTTTTTTTTTTATTATCACACCGGCCGATTCCCACCAAGGCAGGGTGGCCCGAAAAAGAAAAACTTTCACCATCACCCACTCCATCACTGTCTTGCCAGAAGGGTGCTTTACACTACAGTTTCCAAACTGCAACATTAACACCCCTCCTTCAGAGTGCAGGCACTGTACTTCCCATCTCCAGGACTCAAGTCCGGCCTGCCGGTTTCCCTGAATCCCTTCATAAATGTTACTTTGCTCACACTCCAACAGCACGTCAAGTATTAAAAACCATTTGTCTCCATTCACTCCTATCAAACACGCTCACGCATGCCTGCTGGAAGTCCAAGCCCCTCGCACACAAAACCTCCTTTACCCCCTCCCTCCAACCCTTCCTAGGCCGACCCCTACCCCGCCTTCCTTCCACTACAGACTGATACACTCTTGAAGTCATTCTGTTTCGCTCCATTCTCTCTACATGTCCGAACCACCTCAACAACCCTTCCTCAGCCCTCTGGACAACAGTTTTGGTAATCCCGCACCTCCTCCTAACTTCCAAACTACGAATTCTCTGCATTATATTCACACCACACATTGCCCTCAGACATGACATCTCCACTGCCTCCAGCCTTCTCCTCGCTGCAACATTCATCACCCACGCTTCACACCCATATAAGAGCGTTGGTAAAAACTATACTCTCATACATTCCCCTCTTTGCCTCCAAGGACAAAGTTCTTTGTCTCCACAGACTCCTAAGTGCACCACTCACTCTTTTTCCCTCATCAATTCTATGATTCACCTCATCTTTCATAGACCCATCCGCTGACACGTCCACTCCCAAATATCTGAATACGTTCACCTCCTCCATACTCTCTCCCTCCAATCTGATATTCAATCTTTCATCACCTAATCTTTTTGTTTATCCTCATAACCTTACTCTTTCCTGTATTCACCTTTAATTTTCTTCTTTTGCACACCCTACCAAATTCATCCACCAATCTCTGCAACTTCTCTTCAGAATCTCCCAAGAGCACAGTGTCATCGGCAAAGAGCAGCTGTGACAACTCCCACTTTGTGTGTGATTCTTTATCTTTTAACTCCACGCCTCTTGCCAAGACCCTCGCATTTACTTCTCTTACAACCCCATCTATAAATATATTAAACAACCACGGTGACATCACACATCCTTGTCTAAGGCCTACTTTTACTGGGAAAAAATTTCCCTCTTTCCTACATACTCTAACTTGAGCCTCACTATCCTCGTAAAAACTCTTCACTGCTTTCAGTAACCTACCTCCTACACCATACACTTGCAACATCTGCCACATTGCCCCCCTATCCACCCTGTCATACGCCTTTTCCAAATCCATAAATGCCACAAAGACCTCTTTAGCCTTATCTAAATACTGTTCACTTATATGTTTCACTGTAAACACCTGGTCCACACACCCCCTACCTTTCCTAAAGCCTCCTTGTTCATCTGCTATCCTATTCTCCGTCTTACTCTTAATTCTTTCAATTATAACTCTACCATACACTTTACCAGGTACACTCAACAGACTTATCCCCCTAAATTTTTTGCACTCTCTTTTATCCCCTTTGCCTTTATACAAAGGAACTATGCATGCTCTCTGCCAACCCCTAGGTACCTTACCCTCTTCCATACATTTATTAAATAATTGCACCAACCACTCCAAAACTATATCCCCACCTGCTTTTAACATTTCTATCTTTATCCATCAATCCCGGCTGCCTTACCCCCTTTCATTTTACCTACTGCCTCACGAACTTCCCCCACACTCACAACTGGCTCTTCCTCACTCCTACAAGATGTTATTCCTCCTTGCCCTATACACGAAATCACAGCTTCCCTATCTTCATCAACATTTAACAATTCCTCAAAATATTCCTTCCATCTTCCCAATACCTCTACCTCTCCATTTAATAACTCTCCTCTCCTATTTTTAACTGACAAATCCATTTGTTCTCTAGGCTTTCTTAACTTGTTAATCTCACTCCAAAACTTTTTCTTATTTTCAACAAAATTTGTTGATAACATCTCACCCACTCTCTCATTTGCTCTCTTTTTACATTGCTTCACCACTCTCTTAACTTCTCTCTTTTTCTCCATATACTCTTCCCTCCTAATACACTAAATAATGTAGATCTTGGCTAAAATGAATGAAAAAATCTTCAGTTCTAGTTAGGAAAAAATTAAAGCCAAGAAAACAGTAGACAGGTGTTTGCAATAAAGCTAATATAGAGAAGGTTGACGAAGTTGACTGCATGTATTAGAAACCTTTCCTATGAAAATAGGCTGAACTAAGTTTATTTAGGCACAGGTACACATAAATACAATTATCATATAGTGTAAATTACCTAGGATAACTTAAAAAATGTAAGACAAAGTGATGTATTTCCACTGGGGTCCCAGAAGGCTTTGAACTTGCACTTTTGGGAATGGCATAGAATTTGTGGTGATATGATTTAAGTGCACAAACAGAAAACAGGAGTAAATGAATGGTATTTAAGTAAATAAGTAAAGGTAAATAGCATGTTGAAAATATTTAACCAAGACCAGGCTCACATTATTATTATTATTATAATCAAGGGGAAGCACTAAACCCGGAGGATTATACAGCACCTGGTTGATCAGGCTCTGATCCACCAGGAGGCCTGGTCACAGACCGGGCCGCGGGGGCGTTGACCCCCGGAACTCTCTCCAGGTAAACTCCAGGTAAACCTGGGGGGGGGGGATGTGGAAGGCATTCAGGCTTAATTCGGGGAACTGGAGCACAGATCCAATTTCCTAAATCAAGAGCCCCTCACCAACATCAAGGAACCTTCCTTGAGGGGACCAGGCTCAAAGCAATGGATTCTAGTTAAAGGAATATGGATTTAGGATATAGGGAAGTACTGGCTTGGTGACTGAATCATGGACTAGTGGAAAAAAATCCCAGGTGGTGTTACTGAGGCAAGAACTTTGAGTAGGTTTAAGTTTATTTAGGTACTGGTATACACAAGTACAATTACCATACATAGTAACACATGTGTAAAATTACCTAGGATAACCCATAACAGACAAAGTAACTTATTTCCCTTTGGACATATCCATGAGTGACCTGCCTAGCATGGGCCAGTAGACCTGCTGCAGTCTACCTTCGTTCTTGCGTTTAACTAATGTACTACCCACAGAATGGGCACAAGGTTACTGCTGCCCACAGGATGGGCATCGGGTGACTACTGCTCAAGGACCCCAATGGAAATAAAGTCACTGACTTTTTTTGTGTGTTATCCTAGGAAATTTACACTACATATGATAACTGTACCTATGTGTACCTGTACCTAAATAAATTTACTTACAGAATGGGGTATTTGGCTACTACTACCCACAGGATGGGCATGGGGTACATAGCAAAGCTATAAAACCAAATTATGATTAAGTAATTGCCTAACTATTCAAAGTCTATCATTTCAACGACTAGTACTCTAACATTAAACTTTAACTAGCACTTAATTCTACACTAAATATAATTTGCAGCAACAATTACCTTCTAGAAACAAATATTTTCGTACAATGAGGAACACCTGAGACTAACATTATACACATCCTGTGACTTAACAACAGTTCCTGTGAAATACAGAGTAAATCAGCCATGAAAAAAGATTGTTATAACTAAACTACACAAAAAAAAAATACAAGTGAAGCAGTGTTGTGTGCTGGCGATGGTCTTTAAAAAATGAGACTAACAGCTGGAACCTGGATATTAATACGGGCTTTGAGCTATGTATCATACTTAATTATCATATTAGTGTATGATAGGGTTGATATAAAGTGACGAGAATGATGAGTGAGGTGATGACAGGTCCAGGAAGGGCAGGTACAGGTCAGGTCATACATACACACACACACACCTCCACCTACGCAATTTTCATGTCAATAATTTGTAAGGAAACTTACCTTCATGAGCAGTGTGTACACCAAGTGTGTGCTGTGTGTGTACACACGGTGTGTGTGTGTGTGTATACGCAGTGATCACACTGAAGTGGGAATGTATAAGCAAGGTATGAGCAGCAAGAGTGTGGTCCAGCAGGCAGCCAGACACCTCCCCTCCACCTGCACAGCTGATACCTACCACAACCCACCCAACCCCTTATATTAACCCCTCAACCTCCACTCATACCTAATATTCACCACCACACCCACTCAGCACCTCCACTCATACCCCTACTCCTTCATACATTCACTATTTAATATTAATATTATTTTTTAAAGGGGTGGGCCGGTGATAAGCCAGGGAAAGGCCTTGATCATACGACCAAAAACTCCAGTAGTGGGTAATAAGAACATAAGAACGAAGGAACACTGCAGCAGGCCTACTGGCCCATGCGAGGCAGGTCCAATGCACCCAACCTAGTCAGGTCAGGTCACCTTGACTTAAGGGAGGAACACGGCAACCGTCCTGGTAGCACAAGCTATTCAGGTCCAACTCACACCCACCCACACCCACTCATGTATTTATCCAACCTATTTTTAAAGCTACACAACGTTCTGGCCTCTATAACTGTACTTGGGAGTTTGTTCCACTCATCCACAACTCTATTACCAAACCAGTACTTTCCTATATCCTTCCTGAATCTGAATTTTTCTAACTTAAAACCATTGCTGCGAGTCCTGTCTAGGCTAGATATTTTCAGCACACTATTTACATCCCCTTTATTTATTCCTGTCTTCCATTTATACACCTCAATCATATCCTGAATTTACGCTGGGAGTTTACCTGGAAGGAAGGTTCTGTCTGGGATCAACGCCCCCTTGACCTTCTCCAGAGCATGCCTTCCCGTATCGGACAAAGGAGCCTTGATCAACCAGGATGTTATAGTTGAAGACACACGAAGACCACTATACAGCCTGTAAAGCCAAGGTCTATTAGCTTTGCTGACTTTAGGTGCTTGTTTTCAGATGCCAGACTCTAAACTTTCGCAGGTCTGTTGTAAATCACCTTATTTAGTTTATGTGTAGGCAGGTTAAGTCCTGCCCTACATTATATTGTTTGTCTATATTAACTGCTAGTGCACCCCCGCTTTCTACATCTTGTTAGGATGAGCACTTGCACAGAGTATCTTTATTTGCTTTCGTAACAGTAGGTATTTTCAGTCAAGTACGGTATAACAAGATCCCTTAGGATTGTTCCAGGTGTATATAATTGAGTGTACTTCCCTCACTGGCGTTCCAGGGAAACAGATTTAGAAGAATACAGATGAGCTAAGCGCCAAGAATTTAGGTGGTGGATAAGAACTCAGATGATCCGCGGTCAGGTCCTCTGTCACATTTCTAGGACGGTCAATTTCACCTGCCTTGAAAGGTGCTGTTAGTGTGCAGCAATTCCAGCCTAGATAGAACAAGTGACCTGAAGAGTGTCACATGGGTTGGCCTCCTAAATCTACGTCTTTCTAGATGATGAAGATTCAGGCCCTTAGTCTATCCTCAAGTGGAAAGGTTTACTGATACATGGGATCAACTTTGTCATCCTCCTTTGTACATTTTCCAGAGCATTTATATCCATTCTGTAATACGGTGACCAAAACTGTGCAGCATAATCTAAATGAGGCCTAACCAAGGATGTATATAGTTGAAGAACAACCTGAGGACTCCTATTATTTATGCTTCTTGATATAAAGCCAAGGATTCTATTAGCTTTATTGCGAACATTTATGCACTGTTGTCTTGGTTTCAGATTACTGCTAACCAGAACTCCTAAATCTTTTTCGCAATCCGTAATATTAAGATCTACATTATTTAGTTTATATGTGGCATGGTTATTGTCCTGTCCAACATTTAGAACTTTGCATTTGTCTATATTAAACTGCATCTGCCACCTCTCCGACCACTGCATCAGTCTACTAAAATCTTGTTAGGTGAGACACATATGCAACAGTTAGGTATCTTTATTATGAAACGTTTCGCCTACACAGTAGGCTTCTTCAGTCAAGTACAGAAAGGTTGATAGAAGCAGAAGATACTTGAAGACGATGTAATCAGTCCATCACCCTTAAAGTTTTGAGGTGGTCAGTCCCTCAGTCTGGAGAAGAGCATTGTTCCATAGTATGAAACAATATGGAGAAGAAGTGACAGGATGGAGCTTTTTATAGCGCCAAGAGGTGAGACGTAGGCCACTAGGAGAGGTAAGAACTCAGATGATGAGAGGTCAGGTCCCTCTCAAATCCAGCCCCTCTCACTAGTGGAAGTTGTCGAAGTTGATTGCAGGTCTGTACCAAGATACCCTTGTGTTGCAGTGTCTGACAGATTGAACATTAAAATGGTATAAAATACCGACAGGTTGTTAGGTGAGACACATATGCAACAGTTAGGTATCTTTATTATGAAACGTTTCGCCTACACAGTAGGCTTCTTCAGTCAAGTACAGAAAGGTTGATAGAAGCAGAAGATACTTGAAGACGATGTAATCAGTCCATCACCCTTAAAGTTTTGAGGTGGTCAGTCCCTCAGTCTGGAGAAGAGCATTGTTCCATAGTATGAAACAATATGGAGAAGAAGTGACAGGATGGAGCTTTTTATAGCGCCAAGAGGTCAGACACTGCAACACAAGGGTATCTTGGTACAGACCTGCAATCAACTTCGACAACTTCCACTAGTGAGAGGGGCTGGATTTGAGAGGGACCTGACCTCTCATCATCTGAGTTCTTACCTCTCCTAGTGGCCTACGTCTCACCTCTTGGCGCTATAAAAAGCTCCATCCTGTCACTTCTTCTCCATATTGTTTCATACTATGGAACAATGCTCTTCTCCAGACTGAGGGACTGACCACCTCAAAACTTTAAGGGTGATGGACTGATTACATCGTCTTCAAGTATCTTCTGCTTCTATCAACCTTTCTGTACTTGACTGAAGAAGCCTACTGTGTAGGCGAAACGTTTCATAATAAAGATACCTAACTGTTGCATATGTGTCTCACCTAACAACCTGTCGGTATTTTATACCATTTTAATGTTCAATCTACTAAAATCTTCCTGGAGTGCTCTAATGTCCTCGTCAGAATGAATTCGACGGCCTATTTTGGTGTAATCATATGATTAAAACCCGCGTCACGAAACACTTAGTCCTGTTTCCTGACAAATATTATACCTATCAGCAATAGGTAGCAATGGTCTCTCTTCAGTTGTCGCCTCCAAATTTCTGTTGGGAAGAGGCTTTCTAACTATAAGTAGTTCATTTCCTAACTAAAGAAAGACAAGCCACTTTCTCTCCCTAACCCCTTCTCCACACCTCTACTACACAAATAACCAGCACATAGACCGAAATGTCATAAGACTACATTTCGGTCCGTTGGGATAATTAACTAGTCACACAGAAGCGTGAAGAGAAGGGAACCGGTATATTTACGAGAGGTGGGCGGGGCCGGGAGAACGAGAAGAGGTAAAAGTATAAAGGAAGGAAGGGTATAGGAAGTGGTAGAAGAAGTGGTTATAGTAAGTAGTGCAATAGTGGTAGTAACACAAGTGTCAGAGAGTGGAGTGTTAGCCAGGCAATAGTAGTAGTAATAGTGATGGAGGTGGTATAAGATTAACAGAAAAAAGAAGAGCACTTGATGAATGAGTTTTGATGCCTTTATTGTGGAAATACAGATACAAAAACTTGCTTGTGTCTCACTCATCTACTTGTCGGTATTATGTATCATTTATATAATTATATAAGTTTTAGTTGTGCCGCCTGAGCGGCTAGTTAATTGTGAACTTGTAGCTCATCCTGTGACCAGTTATTGCCAAGAGTACCTGGAGGGGGGTTCGGGGGTCAACGCCCCCGCTGTCCAACAGTAACAAGTTCTCCATTCATTCGCACACTTATTTAAAGAACTCCGCCAGTCTTCTACTTGTTGGATGATTATTTTAAGACCACTGAGAACTTACCCTGTGTTAAGTGATTATCGTAGGTGGCATCCTGTGGACAAAATTAAAGAACTTCAGTGGAAATAAGACAGTCTCTGACGAAACACAATTTTATTGAGTTATCCTGGGTAGTTAACCAACCCTCCGAGTTGAAAATCCGAAAATCTGATATTTTTCTCTTAACTTGAGTTGAGGGGATACAGCAGTCTTCCAGTGTTCCTCCTGAGCTGTCTCAGTGCTCAGGCTGGTTCCAGCGTCCTGGATGGCTCCTAAAAAGAAAACACCGAATGGGTGTGGTTTGAACCTATGGCAAGTGAGTCGTAAAACTCTAGGTCAGTGCCTAAGCCACTGGGCCAGCTGGCTACGCACTGGCTTTGAGTTTTACGACCCACCCGCCATGGGTTCAAATCCCACCCGTTCCGTGGTTTGCAATCATGTTATTACGATTTCCTGAGTCATGATGGCAGTCATGAAAATGCTACACCGACCGCACTGAAGACACCCCGATAAAGTTATAGGACCTGCCATTTCCCTACCACAGGACGTAGTAAGCACTATGGCGCTACTGACGTGTCGCTACCTACCACAAACCCAGCCATACCGGGGATTCGAACTCCGGACCTCAGTGTGTGAGCTAAGTTCGCCAGCGATCGAGCTGGCATCAACCAAATCTTTCAATGGGCTTCAGAAAACAATATGAAGTTCAACGGTGAGAAATTTCAATTACTCCGATATGGTAAACATGAGGAAATTAAAACTTCATCAGAGTACAAAACAAATTCCGGCCACAAAATAGAGCGAGAAACCAATGTAAAAGACCTGGGAGTGATCATGTCGGAGGATCTCACCTTCAAGGACCATAACATTGTATCAATCGCATCTGCTAGAAAAATGACAGGATGGATAATGAGAACCTTCAAAATTAGGGATGCCAAGCCCATGATGACACTCTTCAGGTCGCTTGTTCTATCTAGGCTGGAATATTGCTGCACACTAACAGTACCTTTCAAGGCAGGTGAAATTGATGACCTAGAAAATGTACAGAGAACCTTCACGGGCCCCATAACGGAGATAAAACACCTCAATTACTGGGAGCTCTTGAAGTTCCTGAACCTGCACTCCCTGGAATGCAGGCGGGAGAGATACATGATTATATACACCTGGAAAATCCTAGAGGGACTAGTACCGAACTTGCACACGAAAATCACTCACAA